TGAAGCTTTGTTGATTATTTGGGGAACATTGTAAGTATCCTTAGAACCAAATGGTGTTGAAAAATGACAACAACATGCTTTTGAAGGACCGGGTTGTCGAATGTGTTGTGGCACACGAAAATGTGGCACACGAAAACACATTTTTTTGGAAAAACAAACACACATTTTTGCAACGGACATCGTTCAACGGTTTGTTTGGGGATGTGCAGAGTTGCGTTTTGGCGAGGCCACGTCAAACTTGTGAGGACACATGTTGTTGAACATGCAGTTTTGTGCACACTGGTGCATCTTTGACAAGCCAGGATTGTGATTTGGATGTGTCACATTTTTCAAAAACACACGGTGGGGTCGAACCACATGCACAGGTTTTTTCTGGAAAAATTTAGCAATGCAGCATGTTTTCGAAAAAAACACATTTATGTTCAACGCATTTTGTACATGCATGCACGCATGTGGATATTTGTGCACAAATGTGCAACCTCATGTTTTTGAAAGGGCGCGCTTGCATTGTCGAAATGCTGCCGAAAAATGTCAGACAGCATGCTTTGGAAGAGACAAAATCTTGGAGTTGCAATGTAACTCTTTTGCTTGTGTATGTCATGGTTGTTGAAAGCAAACCAACTTAACAAGTGATGTTTGGGGTCGATGCTGGTGCAATTTGTGGTAAATTGTGATTGACTTCGGTGATTTGCGTTCTCAGAAGGTTGTGCGCAACCGTGCACACATGCCAAAAAAGACACGACACAACCACGCCAGTTCACGCACTTTGCATTTAACACTCTCACAATGTGCAGATCGCGTTCACAGACATACAGACCTCCAAATAGAAAAAACAATCAAATCCATTTCACAATGTATTGGAAACCGTTTCTAGCCATTTGGGGACCACTATAGTGCGGCGTTACATTCATGGATGTTATGCAGATCATTGGCACCATATTGTCACGTGTTTGATGTCGATGACGGGATTGTGACAAATTGATTTTTAAAGCATACATCAGGCAACCCAGGTCTTAAATAAAAGGTATTCTGTTTGATGTGCATTCTTTTTAAACTGATGACATTCGGTGCTTCGATGACTGTGACTATGATCCCAATGTGCATGGACAAGATCGTACTGTGTGGTCAATGAAAAGCTGTATTTGGTTCAAAAAGTAGCGGCAAAATATTGGCCTTTGAGGTGAGAAATGGCCGCGGTTCACGAGGACAGCAATTCTGTGTTCTGTCTTCGACAAAGAACATTGTTTGTCATGGGAAGCAACGTCACAACCTCACATGCAAGGATGATTATGACTACTTGTACAAGGTTGTACTAGCAATGCACTGAGACCACTAATCCAGAGTAAGGGACATTTGTTTGCACAAACCGAAAGAACAGTTTGCCATTGAGGTCGGTGATGCCACAGTTGGCAAGACACATCTTTTGCTTGCAACTTACGAACCTTTTCAACTGACGAAGCTTTGATATTGAGATCTTGTGCAAAATAGCATCCAAGGTCTCGCTACATCAAGGGTTCATTGCCAAAAAATCCAACTGCCACGCAGAGAGCCAAGATTTCTCAGTGTACATGTTGACGTGTTCTGAGATACAAGTTGCTCAATGTCAATGAGTTGAACTGATTTTTGCTCATCGAACAAATCAGGATCGGGGTGGAATTTGCAACCCGTACTGTTCCTTTGGCCGCCAAGTCCTTGGATGTTTTAGACGAGAAACCAAAGTCATGATATTACTTGATTCAAGAGGCATAGAGAATCATTGGAAGGTCGGGGGCACAGTGAAAGCGCAGATTTGGGACACTGCAGGACAGGAGAGGTGGGCTTGTGAGACAGTCCTTTAGTAGCGCTGTATGTGAGGTTGTACTGGACAAGTCAGCAAGGGGAATGTTTGCAGGTACCGGGCGATCACAAGTGCTCATTACCGACGAGCAGCTTCTTTGGCCTGTTTCAAAGCCTTATTTCTTTTAATACATTGCGACTAGTTCGTGTCAATTGCTCGAATTGGTTTGACCGCCCGAAATCTGCTTTTAGCTCGTTTCCTGTGGGGTGTCAGGTTGGTGCCCTGTTGGTGTATGACATAACCAGAGAAGGGACATTCAAGAGTTGTACCAAATGGATGGAGGAGAGACGATTTTGCAGTGTTGATCGTAGCAGGCACTACCCAGTTCAACATAGAACACAGTGTTGCGAAGGAGTTGCGACAGAGTGCTGAGCCAGACATTGTTATCATGCTAGTTGGCAACAAGGCCTGAGTGTTTTCGTTTTTGTGTGACGGCAGTTCAACATAGGATGTCTTGTCTTCGTGGCAGGTGGACCTTGTGGAAAAGGATCCCTCGCTACGGCAGGTTGGGACTCGACGAGTGGACAGTGGCGGTCTTTGAGTGTATAGAAAGCTTGATCTAGGAACCAAATCATAGTGCGAGCGTGAGCTATCCTGCGTCCAGTTACTAGAAGCTAACTTAGCCTGGTAACTAGTAGCTTACTACTCCCTTACTTAATCAAGTAGGCGCCTACTTATCTAAGCAGGCGTAAAGAATAAGCTTGGACGAAGGTGTACTTCGACGCGGCTCATGAGTTTGCCAAGCTCCACGGCTTGATATTTGAGGAGGCAAGGCTGGCAAGGCTGTGATTTGGTACGATTTGGAGGTTGTGCTACATGGTGTGCTCATCTAACTCCATTTCTCAGTGCCAGACTGCAGGCCAGTGCAGTGACCTCCCACAATGTGAAGTACATTTTCGAACACCTGCTTCAGGAGAGGGTAAATGTGCTTTTGATGCTTTGGATTGATTGGGTAGTTGACTGCGTGCTAGATTCGTATGGATTTGAAGGAGATCTATGACCAGACCTCCAAGAGAAGAGAGCAGCAAAGCATTGACAACAGTAATATGGTGGGCGGCATTCAGGCAGATGTTCTTTCGTATTGTTTTGCCTGCTTTACATACTTCCATATTTATTTTCCGTGCGACAACGGCGGCAGCGGCAGGTAGCAGCAATCGGTCCAAAAAATGATAGCACTGGACTCGGCAACGTCATCTTGACAGAATGACCAAAGCTATTTCCGTAATGACACATTTTTACAATTGTTTTCGGATGTTCTGAAGCCATTTGTTGCCTAATTAGAACTTGTTGCCTAGAACCAAGGCTGTGATAACTCCTGTTGACGAGCAGTTCCAGTGATGGAGGCCTGTAGGACAACCGTGACGGCCAAAGCGCCATTTTTGGAGAAAGCAGGGATTCTTGAGCAAGGACGCTACTAGGAGCAAAGGGCATCGCTACTAGGAGCAAGGACGCTACTGGGGGCTCCTGGCCATACTACTAGTAACAAGAAGCTAGTAGAAACATGAAGAACTTTATGTTTATGCTTTGTACTGGTCAACGATGATTCATTCGAATCATGCACTGCAAGAGCTTTTGTTTGTTTCGTCGAAGGCCTGACTGTGTGGTCGACAATGTCCCAATTTGGGCTTTCTGTTTGTTTCGGCAACATGAGAACAATTGAACGCTGCAAGCCTGCGGCAGGAAACTTGCCGCTCGCAGCAGCAGTGGCAATGACCACATCAATTTGCAGAAGCTAATGTTTTCAGAGGCAATTCGTCAGAGTTGTGTGCGTCTCATCGGTCTTGCAGCACGACCAAAATGCGCGATCTCAGTTCATATGTCATGCCCTGTGTCGGTGCCATGGTTCCCTGGTTTAGGGTTGTGGGGGAGTCTTTTTGTTTCATCATTGTCGTTGGACCCAGTGTCACAGGAGGTTCTGCTGGAGTCTGGTCGGTCAGAGGTTGTTGGGATGGAGAGCCCATCTCTGCCATCATCTGTCCCTGCCGTCCAGTGCGTCCTCCCAGACCAGGCTGCCATGGATCACCTCCAGGCTCCTGCCACTGATCAGCTGGTCCATCAGCTGGCAAAGGCACCTCAGCTGCTTGGTCAGCCGCCACCGGCAGATGAGAGCAAGGCTAAGCAGGTAGGCAGCCTGATGGGGACCACTAAACCGCCCTGAAAATTCCACCAGCAAAAGGAAAACCAATCAGGGCCTAAAGCACAGCAAGCAAAGCAACACACGCGGGCTACTGTTTGTGCAAGCGAACAATCGAATGCCTGCGGTTCATGAAAGTGTGGAAAACTCAAAGAACACAGCAAGTCAACACCATTGAAGTCACCCAATCGCAGATGTAGTAGGTAACTTGTGGCGGTTTTGAATGATCTTACCATGGTAACCTGGTATTTGTACATACTGTACTGTATTTGTAAATGATCCATTCGGTGCCTTCACAGACAGAATGTCAGCTTTGTTCCCATTGCCAATGGCTTGTGAGATTTGACATCCTCTCTATTTTGTCCGCTTTTATGGTGTTTCCAACATGGATTCCACTTCTCGCTCTTGCTGACCGGGCAAATTTGCGACCGCGTTTCAAATCTCACATTCATTATTATGGTCACAATTTCTGTACCGCAATGCCTTCACAGCCCTAAGCATGGACTTGAGACCTTGCATGTGTGTTGGTGACCACGTTCTCGTGGCAGTGTACGCCGTTGTGGTTTATCAAGCGGAGTATTGTGCGCAAGTATGTGCAGGCGAAGACACCTATAAACGGGCCTGTTGAACAATGTTCTTGAATGGGAACGCCCAGCAAGGACAAGTTTGCACCTTGCGCAAGCGAAATCAGCGTGCTGACATATTCATCGAAACAATAAGCATAGAGAGAACGTGTTGTCTTGAGGAAGCTTGTTTCTTTGGCATGCTGTGGAACGACCTAGATTTGGGTCAGCTTCCCATCAAACTTGCATTCTTTTGCCTTTCTTGACACAGCCAGCTGTGAAGTCATTCACGTGCTGCTGCGTCAAGGATTCGCGCTTTTCAGCCCATTGTAAGGGATTGTTCGTGCAGCTCGTGCTTAAATCACTTGCGCTGACGGTGGCCAACCCAGTGAAGTGTGGAAAACGGTTTGCTATGCTTTTGCGCCAAATATTTTGGTTCAGGAGATTTCCTAAGCCGGCAAGTTTAATCAAATTTGCCAACAATGAAGCGTTTGCGGGCCCTGCATGGGATGAGCCTTGCTTTGGCATTGTGTTTCATTCAGGCCACCGGCGAGCAAAGTATGATCTCTAAGTTGCACGCTAGCTCTCAATCTGCAGCAGAAGCTGCAAATGAATTGCAGCACATCCTGCAGAGTGGGAAAATGAGCATTCCATTGAGCTTGCAGGCCATCCAGACAACCCTTGTGAAGATGGGGCATGAAGTCAGCAACAGCAGTGCTGTGACGACATCTGACTTTGCCAAAAGCATTGAGCCGTTGCTCTTCTCTATGCAAGATACAATCCGCAGCCAAAACAAATTGACCCAGCAGACTCTTGACAATTCTTGGACCACTTTCACTGCTTGCAGCTTTGACTTCTCAGGTCCAAGTGGCTTAGGAGATGTGGCAGCACTGGAAAACTCTCATACGACTTGCCGAGTCGAAGAAGGCATGAGGAAGACAGCATTGGATGCTTGCCGCATCGTTCAGAGCAACAAGGAGTCAGCTCTTGCAGATGCAAAGAAAGACTTTCACGGAGATGATGCCAACGGTGCAAAGGGGAAAAATGCGCTCCCTGAGGCAAACTCATGTGATTTTGAGCAAGTTGGAGCAACTTGGACATCTCCCAAGGAATACTTAGAGTATTTTGAGAATCATTTCGGAACCCTTCTGAGTGATTGGCGAGCCTCTCGAGATTTGGTGATTAAGTCCCAGAACGAGACGAATATGCAGACAGCTCTTTGCAATGCCAAGGAGGCCAATTGGACCAATCAGAAAGGAGATTGTGCAGAGTTCCAGAAGGCTTTGGAGAATGCAGCCTGTGACATTCTCACACACAATACAGCTTGCAGAAGTTATACTGGCTGCTACAACAGGGAGTGGCACGCGTATGGGGAATCCCAGAAGTTGACAAAAACCCAAGAAGCAGAGCAAGAAGCAGAAATGATGGGAACCCTGAAAATCCTGTGCATGATCCGCGCCTTTGGTCAGCCCGACCTCAATCAGAAGATAGACAGATGCCTTGAAACAGATTACAGCACAACCACTGAGGTCACGTCCTTGAAGATTACCTACTACCCAAACTCCAAAGATGCTATGCCGACTGACCAGCGCCCTACTTGTGCATCGGCTTTCAAAGCATCCATGATTCCCGGCACCAAGAGCTTTGAGAACACCCACTACTCAAGCTTGCCTGCAAATGCTCCTTTTGGAGCTTGCTCAGCGGCATGCTGTGGATATGCAGAGCCAACTTGTGTCAATTATGGTTGCAGTGCCAAATATGTTAAGACACAGTTGTGCCAATGCAATCCTGGGTGTGAGCTTCATGGCGACTGCTGCTGGGATTACTATGACAAGTGCAATGTGACTTCGGCAGAATACACAATCATTCTGAACGAAGTGGCTTTCAATGGCCGTCCTGGTACTTGTGAGGGTGCAGACTGGATTGAACTCTACAATGCGGCCTTTGCTGCTAAAGACATCAATGGCTGGAGTCTGCAAGTTGAAAAGCCCGATGAAAAGAACCCTGGTTCAACCGTCCAGTATGACATTGCGTTTGACACAAGTCAGACAATTGAGCCTGCATCTTTGTTAGTTGTGTGTGCGAAGCCTGGTGGTTTGACAGACCAATCACTTCCAAACATTGAGATTGAGTTCGAGCCAGGGAACAAGATTACATGGATGGACAAGGATGGCAATGTGATCTCAAGCACCACCATTGAAGGCAGCACTGGAACAACAAACACATGGGCTCGCCTAGCCGATGGAAAGTTTGGCTTGAAAGAGCCCACACCTGGATCCCCAAACAAGTGATCAATGGCGTCATTGTCAAAAAGTACGCACGCTTTGATCTTGAACTAGGTCATTGATTCGTGTTTGTATTTTTTTGCATATTTTTTCGGTGACAAAGTCGGCCCACCAGAAGGATAATTCGCTTGAGGATTTAAGATTGCCGTTGTGTTTGATTCGTTTTCTCACAACGATCCTTCACCAACTTGAGAGAAAGTAGAATCTCACTGTTTTCGATGACTTGCTTATGCGCTTGACGACAAGCTCGTTATGGCTCAGAGATTGGGCGGTTTGCCGGGGGTAGCCCACACAAGCAGACCCACGACCAAAGATAGAAGATGTTGCAAAGGCCCTCCAAAGCACTTGTGCCCTTAGTTCCTTCGGCTGGGATGGACCTGCTTTAGCTGATATTTAAACTACACATCAAGTATCCCAGGTGTCTTAGCAAACAGCAACTGGGTCAGTGCTACCCGCATGCTGAAGACAGCATAAGAAGGCTCAAGATATCAGCTGGCTGTAGACAGAGAGATGAACAGTTTGTGTCCTGAGCATGGTCTTGCAAAGGCTTGTTGACTGATTCGCAATGCCTGAAGTGGACGAGGATGAGCTATCTGATTCCACAAGGGCGGCCCTTCGGATACAAGAAGAAATCGATGGAAATGGTCCGACCACCAGTTCCAAAAGCACACCTTCCTCTCGCAAGAGCAGTGCGCAGGTGTCAAATGGCACGCATGGGGCAGTTACTGGAATCGCACTTGGTGAATATGCTCACAAAAAGGGTGGTTCTGGAACAGTCCACATCAAGATGAAGGGGAGCAAGGTGCGACATACATGAGCGCAAGTGAACATGTTTGACATTGAACGCTTCTAGTCGTTCAGGCCGGCTTTTTCAGCGAGAGTTTGGAATCTCTGGCGTATCGTCATGACTCAGACGATGAGGTGCTTGTACTTGTAGTTTTTTGCAAGTCATGGAATCAAGGTCTGAGCAAACTCAATGTGCAGGTTAATCCGGAGGCACCAAGTGGAAGCTTTCGACAAAAGGACTTGGCCAGAGAAGCAAGTGGCACCGGCAGCCAAGCTGTGGGCTTGGATGGCAAGGTCTACAGCTTCATTGAAGCGCCAAGCGATGATGAATCCAGCGCTGAAAGAAATGCCCCGAGTGATTCCCCAAGACGCCACTGATTGTCACTGTCGACTGTAGTTGGCTATTCTGAGGAGAGCTTGAATGCAGGTCCATGAAACGTTCTATTTTTCAATTTTGCACAGAGTGGCAGAGTGGCATCAAGGCCTTGCTGTGTCAAAACCTATGCAAGGTGCGGTGAAGGATAAAGGCAAGTCCAAAAAAAAAGTGAAGAAGGACAGCCGGGAATAGCTTAACTTGCGATGTCTCTTGTGATCAGCAACAGAACTGGAAGGGATTTAGCTTCATCTCAAAGCAGGCAAAACCTCAACTTTATCAAATTTATGTTTGTACTGTACACTGTGCATGCTACTTGTTTAGTGCAACCCTTTTCTTGCTCTGTCGAACAATGACGTCTCCCGGTGTTTCTCTATCATTGATTATTCATCAGGTTGCAACGCCATTGCGTTGCCAACATCAGCCAAAATCTCTCTCGCAAAGCGCACTCTCTCTTTGTCAATGGGCCTCTACCGTGCAGAACCAATGCAGACGTGTGCTTGAAGAGTCCACCACAAGGGTGTACGGTATCCCAAAGCTTCTTCCATGAATAGACCAGAATAGTCACTTGATGCTGGACAAGCAACACTTCCTGTTCAAAGAAGACTATATAGACGCCTTGTCAAATAGTTGCTCAATACAGTACAGTGGACGAAGAGACTGTCCTAAGACGGGCAAAGTTAGATTTCAAGGAACACATAATACATATTAACATAATATTCGCGCCGCTACGCGGCTGGGCCCGCCCGCACCGGAGAGCTATCTGCTGAACCCAGCTACGGCCTTTCAACTATTTTGCTGTTTGCCGTGGTATCAGCAGGGCAGTCGTATAGTATAGTTGGACTGGTGTCCTACCGTCCCGACTCTACCTGGCTAATACGAACCCCTAGCCAGCTAGAGCCGTACCATGAAGCCGCTGATGTTTGTTTATGCCGGTTCTACCGGACCAAATCTTCAAAAACTCGTTTTTTACTTCTTCACTTTTTCAGGAACACCTCAAACATTTGCGTGACCTGAAACTCGAAGCCTTCATCAAATCCGTTATTTACGACGTTTTTTGCTCTCAATTTTCAACAACTTTCAAAAACTCAGGTTTCTTGCAAGATAATGGTCCCCCCAGCTAAAGCTAAAATCTTGCGATTGACCATGCCATCTGGCGGTGCGGGCGGATTTTGGAATAAAATAGCAACAGTGATAAAGACATCATTGAAGAGTATCACTGAACGAGAAGTGCTGTCCGCCGTACATGACTTGTGCTTGCATGTCTCTGACCGCGTATTTACTGATACTGATCTCGTGGCACTTGTGCAGAGTTTGATCAAGTTTGCACCAAACGTCTTCTCTGAGAAGTGAGAGGTCGCCACCGAAACCCGCAAACCAGGCAGGTTTTGACCAAACAAACTGTTACATCAGCTACTGTGGGAGCGGGAACATGCATTGACACATCAATCCCATTGAAAGGTTGTCCAGGATGCAAAGCAGGTGTATTCACGTCGCTTCGCGACGGTAACCGCCCGCACCGCATGGAAGGGACCAATATTTCCACCGAACATAGCCCCGGAAGTGCCCCCCCCCCTCCCCAACGTGGCCGAGCATAGATTCCATGTTTCGAGATAGGGATTTAACATGGCCCAACGTGTTAGGCAATATGAAAGCTATGTTTGGCCACGTTAGGGGGTGTTTTTTATTCCAGTTTACGACGTTCAAGTCCCTATCTCGCAGACACTACCTTTAGATAGTGACTTCTAGGGATGTTAGGCTATCTTCACTCTATTCCAGTCCCTTTTGAGCCTTCGTTGGGCCATGT